CCTTAGTGCGGTTGCCAGTTCTATATCATCCACAACAATGATGTCCGATTAGTCCAACCTTGCAAGGTGAATCCCTTGTGTTGTAACCAGCTCATATCAAATGTGTCCAACGCAAGTAACCCTACCTGGTAAAATCGGTCTTAAGAGCGCCGGTACCAGAGTATGCGCAGCTCACAACGTCAGCGTTGTCAGCCCAGACTATAAAATGCATGCAAAGATAAGGAAACACATAAGAGAGAGTGTCGATAAACAGCAACACATACTGTCGCTCCAGAAAACGATCGGTTCATTAAAAAAAGTATCACATCCATGATCCTTACCATTGCGGAACATGAGTTCGACATGCTGGAATTTCTCAAACTGCTCATCCGCGCCCAAGATACCGATCTCGCGCAGCTGACGATTGAGCACCCAGCGGGAAACAACAGACTGAACAACGTTGGTTCTGTCAAGGCAGTCCATGCAATTGGTGCGGACTACAGAGCTCTGCTTCTGGGAGACCTTTTCGAGGCCGTCCCTGCCGATCTCGGCCTTAAAGTATCTGTTAGTTGACACACGAGTCAAGTCAGTAAAACTCAGGTAGCATATAGGGTCGAAGGTGAGTTCTTCCGTGCGTCAAATGAAAGAAATCAAAAGCATATCAATACCCTTGTGCGTTGAGTTCTTCCTGGAAGTGCTCCAACAAAAGGGACACACGGTGCCACTTCATCTTGCTGCACTCATGATGGAAATCAAAGTGGTGGTACTTGATGTCTGGGTCATTCAGGACGTCAATGTGCTTCTGGAATGCCACTCCCATAGGTCCTTCGTATCCCTTCTTGTTAATCAAGTTGATGACGAGCTGGGGACCATAGAAGGACTTTTGGATCTCGAAATGCTTGCGGAATGAATTCTCCTGTGATATTCGAAGCGGTTGAGGTGAGTAAGAATAGTGGCGAATCTTGATATAACTCCAAGCAACGACAACCACTTCAATCAAGTTGTATTTACAGTCTCGGGATTCTCAAAGATTTGAAGCTTGGGAGTGTACTTGATGTTGTTGATCTGAGTCCAGTAGATAGGGATGGAGCCACGGGTCTGAACATGGGACAGGAAAATCTGTCCGCCGGGCAGGGTCGAGGCTGTGCCGTCAAGATCAGCATCCGCGATCACGATCTGCTCTGTCTCATTAAAGTTGGAGACGTTTCCTTGAGCATCCACACCGCGAGAGAAGTAGCGGGTACCAGCGCGATGGCGAGATCGGCGAGAGATGAGAGCAAAGGTGAATGGCTTCTTGTTGATTTCGGTGGTCTTGATCTCGGCGAAGCCATTAATAATAGGCAAGATGAAGTTGCTTAGCTAAATGAAGCAAACCCAACATTTGAATTGAAACGTATTAGATATCATTATTCATTTTTTATGGATCTCGATTCATAAATAAACGTTCACGCCTTACATCCTCAGCCTTGTTGTTGATAGAGTGTTCAATGAACTTTGTCTGAAGTCGTCTGTTCCAGAAGAATCTCTCGTCGGCCTACAAGAAGGAATGACATTAATGTAGATGTTAGATAGCAGTTCGAGCAACGGTCTCTTTAACGCCAGACCGCCAATGGAATGCAAGAATATACCCGCTCCCAAATCGATTGAGTGTTATCCTTCAATTCTGACTGGCGCTGAAGAGTATGGGTCACTTCGTATCCATACGAGAAGTGGAGCTGTGCTGACTGAAGGTGAGCGTGAAGCAAGGAGAGGTAGGAGGCCTCTTCGCCAACCTAGAAACAAAGCCAAAGGATGCAATCGGGGTTCAGTAGGACAGTAAAGATACTCGTATCAGCGCCATTAGCAGTAGATCCCAGTCAACATTGCAGCAGAGACATGTCCTAGCACGTACCTGGGCCTCGGTCAAGGCATGGTTATTACGGGAAAGAGGGAGGACCTTGTAGTCCTTGACTTTGTAGATCTCATGCTCGCCAATGCGACCAAGCTTTGTCCGTTCGGTAATAACGACCATGTACTCGCCTATGAGAAATATAGTGCAGACATCGGCAATAGGCAGGGCTCAGTTGATCAGCACATTGTCCTCCCATCAACAGCTATGAAGGCGTGATCTTTTGTCATTGATCCTATCGCTTACCAGCCAAAAGACGGATAAAGCCAATAACACCATAGATGTTCATAGCTTCCTGATCGGAAGAAATCTTGGTAGCGGGTGCTATTCAGGTGGTGGAGGGAGTGGCAACAGTCAGACGGTGCTGTTGATCAGATTCACAAAAGTTGCATGAGGTGTGCAATTCGAGTATTACAGTTCAATCGGGCTTCGCCTGTGCTGCGCTGGATGACTACATTCTCTGATGCCGCCGAACCATCGCTGTGGACGGGCTCCAGAGTGAATGTGTCGACGCTCGTATGACTGAGATAAAGATGCGCCGGGAAGGTGAAGGTAAAGAGAGACGTTTTGATGGGGTTAGGTTAGCTGAAGTGTGCCGGTCGGGTGGTGCCTCTGCAAAAAAAATATAAAAAAAAAAAATGCCAGCCCATCGACTTACAGCTTGAGTGCGGTGTGAATGGCCATGGCTTTGTGGTGTTAAACAAGGATTGAGTGAAGTGATGAGAAGTAAAAAGAAAGATGAAAAGAGAGTGTGATGAGGTTTTTGTACTGAAGAAAGAGAAAACGAAGACCCATATGAAGATTTTATTAAAAGGCATTGTCCAGTGCGCGCGTTCGGACAGCACCTTTGAGAGCCCTTCCTCTATTTAATAATGACCATGCACCGCTCTACTTTCACATCGTGTTCCTGTGCTGGAGCAGCAGAGTCAACTGAGCCATGTGTGAGGGCTTCAATCGTATGAGAATAGCTACATGGTCTACAGGTACGTACTCGACATTTCAGGAACGGGGGCGTTCATTCTGTCGCAGGTGATCGGCACACATAAGGGGAGTTCTCTCATGATCAACGAGCAGGCCAGTATGTCCGTGGAGACCTGTTCGTTCTATGAACACCGGGCTGCTCTATTCTGAATTGCCTGAGCTGTTGCGAGATCTCATTTCTTAAAGTGACCGAGTCGATAAAAATATACCGAGTGAAGCAGCCAAAAATTGAGCAATGCCTCATTATACACCAGCACTCCTTGAATATAGATCCTGCTGCAACCGCCTTGGATAACAAGCACACAAACAACAGTGACGATCTGAGTGCATGTGATAAGCTGTTAAAGCACTCACGTCACACCGAGAAGGCATGCAAAGCAGCACTGATGGACAGGCATGGACCCTGCCTCCCTGGAGGCACCTTCTCTTGCGCTTCTCTTCTTTTTTTGTGTGGTTGCGACGCGGCAGGCTGGTTAGCGTTGAGGATGACTGCCATGCGGCGAAACTTTTTGAGTTCCGCCATATATATGTACTCGGCTTTCTCCACACTCGGGTTCACTCCTTTTGGCAATGGCCTTTGCTCGTTGTCGGCCCTTTTTTTAGAAAGCGATATAAAAAGGCCTATGGGCTCCTGCTCCTTATCCCAACAACTCCCTTCTCCCCACTCTCTCTTCTCTTTTTGTTTTCGTATCCACTCCTCTCGCCTTTCTTTCCACAGAAACGCAGGATTGAAAACAAGTACATATCAGACGCCTTCCACACGCGCAACCGTTGCCCTGCTCTTGCACACTTAACTTCAATGCCCCTATTGCCATAGCCATACGCAGCCCCTACAATCTTTCTTGAACACCTCATTTTGGACTTCACACACGCATATATAGCAACCTGCCATGCCGTTCCCTCTCAGTTCCCTCGCCCGCACAGCCGCCAACCCCATGGCGCGCTACTCCGCCCAACTAATGCGCTCTGCCTTAGCTCGCACGACTGCCCCAGTCGCGACGCTCATGGCCATTCGTAAGGCTTCCTCGGGCACTGCTGCCAAGGATGACCTGCCTGCTGCCAAGGACGCCTTCTTGCAGGGCAACTCCGCCAGCTATGTGGAAGAGATGTATAATGCCTGGCTCAAGGACCCCACCTCCGTTCACCTCTCCTGGCAGATCTACTTCAGGAATCAGTCCCATGGAATGTCGTCGTCACAATCTTTCCAGGCTGCCCCTACCATCCCACCCAGCGGCGGTGTTCCGTCCCTTGTCCCTGGCTCCCAAGTCGGATCCTCGGACGTTATCGATCACTTGAAGGTCCAGCTCCTGGTCCGCGCCTACCAAGCCCGTGGTCACCATATTGCCCGTCTGGATCCTCTCGGAATTAGCGCGGCCAATGTGGGTGGCCTCTCCCCCCGTGAAGTAGACCTGACCCATTACGGCTTCTCTGAAAAAGACCTTGATCGCACCTTCAGTCTTGGCCCCGGTATCCTTCCAGGTTTCCTTGACACCGGTAGCAAGCAGACCCTGCGTGAGATCGTTCGTCACTTGGAAGCTATCTACTGTAAGTTTCGTAAAAGTATTTGTGTGGGGAAGAGAGCAATCGAATATGAAATTGTTCCCATGCGCTGTTTTTTGAGAAATTGGGTTTTAGTGCTGATTCAGATGAGATCCTATTGCAGAAGTATTCTGCATGACGAAAGGAGCGCACAAGGGATGGATGATCATCCCTCCATCCGCGGCACTTCCGGAGTAGACCACGGATACACATGGGCACTATTGGCACACTTTTCACAAACATATTGCAGTAATCCAACGACGCAAGCAATATTAGCAACATAAACTGGCAGCGAGGATGGAAGCACCATGCGCAAGGGTTGTCGATGCCGGGGGGAGGAGAGCCTCTTCTTTCTCTTTCAGTCCTATCCATCCCGGCTGTCCTCAATAGAGCAATCAAGTGGCATCCACTTGGTTTCGTCTCCTCAAAATCTCAGGGACGCGCATCAGCAAGCGTCGGATCTCTAATTTATTTTTCCTTGGCTCTTCGGTATTGCCGTTTTTCCTATCTTTTTGGAATATTGCGCATTGACATATCCTCCTCTCTAGGTGGGTCCATCGGTATCGAGTACATTCACATCCCCGACAGGGAACGCTGCGACTGGATCCGACAGCGCATCGAGGTTCCCCGACCTTACAAGTACTCGATCGAGGAGAAAGCCATGATCCTCGACCGTATGATTTGGTCCGATTCATTCGAACGCTTTGTCGCGTCCAAGTACCCCAGCGAGAAGCGCTTCGGCCTTGAGGGAGGCGAGAGTCTGATTCCTGGAATGAAGGCTTTGGTAAGTCGTCAGGTCGCGTCTCTTCTATCAAAATTTACTGATATGACAAGGTTGTCGTGGAGCGTGCATGGAGAGCTTCACGAAAACTTTACGTCGTTCCTTTTATGGCATCCCTTTTCTACATCGCCTTTTACAGCACAACGCTTTCTTTGGTTAACCGATCCTATTCACGTATTTCCTGGTAGATCGATCGATCGGTCGAGCATGGCGTCGAGTCCATTGTCATGGGAATGCCCCATCGCGGTCGTCTCAACGTCTTGTCGAATGTCGTCCGCAAGCCACACGAGTCCATCTTCTCAGAGTTCAGTGGTAACTCTGCCCAGGATGGCTTCTCTGGGGATGTCAAGTACCACTTGGGAATGAATTATGAACGCCCCACGCCCTCCGGCAAACCTGTCCAGCTGTCTTTGGTGGCAAACCCTTCGCATTTGGAGGCTGAAGATGGCGTCGTCCTTGGAAAGACCCACGCTATCCAGCATTACACGGACGACAAGGAGAGGACTCGCTCGCTTGCAGTTCTCTTGCACGGTGATGCAGCCTTTGCTGGACAGGGCATTGTTTACGAGACCCTTGGATTCATGGACTTGCCTGCGTACTCGACTGGAGGGACCATTCACATTGTCGTCAACAACCAAATTGGTTTCACGACTGACCCTCGCTTTGCTCGCTCGACTGCCTACTGTACCGACATTGCCAAGTCCATCAATGCCCCCATCTTCCATGTCAATGCTGATGACGTCGAGGCCGTCAACTACGTCCACCAGCTGGCTGCCGACTGGCGCAAGGAATTCCACACTGACGTTGTGATCGATCTTGTCTGCTACAGGCGTCATGGACACAACGAGACTGATCAGCCCAGCTTCACTCAGCCCATCATGTACAAGGCAATTGAACGACAGACCACCGCCTTGGAAAAGTACATTGACCAGCTCGTCAAGGAAGGTAGTTTTAAAACCGAGGAGATCGAGAGCATGAAGACGCGCGTCTGGAACATCCTTGAGGAGAACTATGCCAAGAGCAAGGACTATAGGGTCGAGATTAAGGAGTGGATGACCAGCTCGTGGCCTGGATTCAAGTCGCCTGCCGAGCTAGCGACCGAGATCCTGCCCACTTTCCCCACCGGTGCGGCCATCGAGACCTTGAAGCACATCGGAAACAAAATCAGCTCCTACCCACCAGGCTTCAAGATCCACCCCAATTTGGCCCGTATCATGAAGACGCGTGCCAAAACCATCGAGACCGGATCCAACATTGACTGGGCCACTGCTGAAGGCCTAGCTTTCGGCACCTTGCTCTCCGAGGGCAAGCACGTCCGCTTGGCCGGTCAGGATGTTGAACGTGGTACCTTCTCGCAGCGTCACGCTGTGCTCCACGATCAGGAGACTGACACCCTTCATGTTCCTCTGAAGAACTTGGGCCATGGCCAGGCGGCATTCTCGATCAACAACTCTTCGCTCTCCGAATATGGTGCTCTTGGGTTCGAGCTCGGCTACTCGCTTGTCAATCCCAACTCGCTCATTTTATGGGAGGCTCAGTTTGGAGATTTTGCCAATAACGCGCAGTGTATCATTGATCAATTCATCGCCTCTGGAGAGAAGAAGTGGCTTCAGCGCACAGGATTGACCATGCTCTTGCCACACGGATACGATGGACAGGGTCCTGAGCACTCGAGCGCCCGTATTGAACGTTACCTCCAGATGTGTGATGACCATCCCGACTACTATCCATCGGAGGAGAAGCTTTCTCGCCAGCATCAGGACTGCAACATGCAGGTCGTGTACTGCTCAACTCCTGCCAACTACTTCCACGCCCTTCGTCGTCAAATCCACCGCGACTACCGCAAGCCTCTGATTGTGTTCAACTCCAAGCTGCTGTTGCGTCATCCTATGGCGCGCTCGACCTTGGATGAGATGTCTGGCGATACGCAATTCCAGCGCTTCATCCCTGAGGTTGACGAGGAGAAGCTCGTCAGTGCCGACAAGATTACCAAGCACATCTTCTGTTCTGGCCAGGTCTACTATGCCCTGGTGAAGGCTCGTGAGCAGAACAAGATTAACGACGTTGTGATCTCGCGTGTTGAACAGTTGAATCCATTCCCCTATGACAGGATCAAGGAGTACTCTGACAAGTATCCGAATGCCGAGATTGTCTGGTGCCAGGAGGAGCCCTTGAACATGGGTGCGTGGGCCCATGTTGCTCCTCGCATCCGCACCTCGCTTCGCGAGACCGCTAACCATGCCGGCAAGGAGGTGCGTTATGCTGGCCGTGAGCCTTCTGCCTCGGTTGCGGCCGGTAACAAGAAGGTCCATTTGGTGGAGGAGTACGCATTTTTGTCCGATGCTCTGATTGGCGAGGTCAGAAAGCCTTCTGATGTCGTCGGAGGAGTCCCCGTCTTCTAAGCTAGACTCTTTTATATGACACGAATCCCTGTAAAATACACAACTATCTAAACGAGGGCATTTTTGCAATGAGGGGCTGTTTTGACCATGGCAATGCAATTGAAGAATGCTCTATGGGTGTTAATGCATTAAAAAAAGGTCCCTTGCAGTCCTCGCTTTGTTCCTGATCTTCTAGCCTGTACAACCCTCCTTGGTGCTTGTTTTGTTCCATTGTAGAACTTGGCAGCATGAACGACGCCCTCCTGGTCAGGCAGCTAATCGAAGGTGCACCATACGTGGTAACTATATACATTTTACAGCGAGTGTTGCGTAAGGATACGAATATACATCACATTCCAACCCCACACACTTTTTGTATGCACTGGTACCTTTTTTCATAAAAAAGGAGGACACACAGCGGCGTAGAGATGGATGGCAATGAAGCACCCCAGTCAGTCCACAGCCCTGTGCTTGGCTTGTGGGTCAATTGGCTCAGCTCGTGGTGGAGGTGCGGGCCAAGCCGTTGTTCGATCAACAAAACCGCAGCCCCGGGGTGTGCTCTTCTCCACCCCAACCTCTCTCTCACTCTCTTGCCTTGGTTCGCTTTCTAAGATATTACAATCCAGACCAACGCACTCCTGCGCATCCACTTCATCTCGATCGCCCTCATTCTCTCCTCCTGTTCTCACCGAATGCGCAATCTGTCGACTGGGTGCAAGGACTAGGACCAGGACCAGGACGAGGACAAGGACAAGGACAAGGACAAGGACAAGGACAAGGACAAGGACAAGGACAAGGACGAGCACGCAGACTGGTTTCTATTCCACCTTCCAACAGCTCTCGCCGCCTCCCATCCTTCTTCCTCCCAATATTGTCAATTGACCCGTCTTCTCGCCCCTCTGCCCTCCTTCCTTCTCTCTCTCTCTCTTCCCTTCCTCCCTTCCTCCGCCCTCTATCCATCGCTTGCTGCCACGGACGTGTTCATGACCACCACCACCTCCTCCGGGCCGGAGACGACGGAGACGACAGAGACCCATCAGCCTACTAGACCATTCATGGATAGGAAGGCATCCTCGCCCCATCTCAAGGCTTCATCACCGCCAGCCTCTGCGTTCTTCACACTGTCCTCTGGCACCTCGGCAGGATCTCCTTTTACCCTCCCTCCAAGTCCGCACGAGACAGACTCTGCCGCCCCTACCAGTTGGACCGACACAGCAAATATCAACGATGGCCACCTCGAGAACGAGAGGAACCAAAGACACAGAATCAGCACTTCCGTCGCCCCCACTATACTTGGTGTTCCGCAATTGGATATACGGCCATTAAAGGAGTCTGTGGAGCCCCAACCAACATCTGTGTCAGATAGAGCCGTCGCCGAAGGATCAATAGGGCAGAAGGATCCAGTCTCCTATGTTTGCAATGAGACGCATGATACTCCTGCTGTTTCTGCTGCTGCAGAGATGGATGTTGATACACCCAGGAGGAAGCCACACCGGCTGCAACATCGACAGAGGACAGAAGACAGTGACAACGAAGACCAGGACAATGTGACCTCCGCCGCAACTACCCCTACAACTAGTTTGATTCTGGATCATAACAGCATTCTCAACGTGGACGGGGACATGTCCATGACCTCTCCTGTCCGCCATACCAAATCGCCACCTACCTCCACGTCCTCTTCTACATCGACCGGGCGACGCAGGATCGCGGAGTCGAGCATGATCCTCAGTGTAGGGACGAGGCCCGCGGCCACGGCCGCGGAGGGAGGAACGCTTTCGCCAGCCTGGTCCATGAGCTCGATCCCACGAGACATCAGCGCAGCATACAACAGCAGCTACCGGGATCAGGCAGAGTCTCCAGTGGCCTCGCCCATGGATGAAAAGCTATATAGCCTTGTCGACAGGTGCGGTGCTCAACACTCGTTTTGAAATGCTCATTTTGTTGATGTGTCAATTTAATGTAACTCAAACAAACCAACCAGGGTACCGTGCTCTGCCCAATGCTGACCATGCTGACCATGCCGATCATGCTAACCACGCTGGCCTTCTCTAATGCTGATATGATACAGATATGGGTTCTTGGTTGAAGAGGGTCGAACGCCGCAAGCGGACAAGAGCAGCGCGAAGTCGTCAACTCCGTCCTCGTCGCGGAAGTCCGTGCGGGTCGTAAATGGTATCAAGTAGGTTCACGCGTGGATCGTCACTTGCAAATGAGAATTGAGGAATGAGGCCCACAAAACTCTATCCGTTGTGGGGCGCTGAGCGCTTTGACGACTTTTGACCATTAATTGTATTGCTCGATCCGGGACTATATTTAAAACATAGACACCAGGCAAAGATGATTGAAAAAGAGCAGGAGCGCAGTTTAAAGTGGGCGAGGATGGCGAAACAGTATACCTCGGAAGCAAAGGAAACTGAATACTCCTTTGCCAACCATCCAAAGGTATATACTTGCTCACAGCAATTGGTATTCCGCTTCTCTAGATGATATTCATTCATGTCTCACGGCTCAACTCATTCTATTTTCATTGTCAAAACCATAGTTTATAAAAAGGGTGTACAAGGGCATCCCGGATTGTTGGAGGGCAGCCGCATGGTAAGTTGAGCCAATGCGACACATCTTTTCATATGCTGAATCAAGGGGGCCGGTTTTAACATCAATGACATGTTGACTTTATAGGAGTTATCTCATCACAAAGCGATCTGTAGGCTTTGAACCTAACATACGCCAAATATACCATGTAACGTTAATCAATCCGGCGCTAGGAAATTACGCTCACCGAACATGATATTTTCGGTGGATGGCACCATGTTAATCATTCTGCTTCGGATCGGAAAATTGTCTTACAGGACATGCTGGAGATCTCATCGCCGGAGGAGGAGCAAATCGATCTTGATATCCCACGGTATGCGTGACGTTATATCGATGATATGACCTTTGAAGCGTTACTGTGGGTTACCTACGTATAGACGACTGATATTCATTTTCACTGTATATAGAACGATGCATGGACACATCATGTTCAGGACGCGTTATGGACCAGGGTAATTGTTGTGGCGGATTTGAGCCGGTTTCCGTTGGCAGTATTGTTACTGATCGTAGTGTTTCCTAACTTATGCCTCCTATTTAATAGACAGTGTGCGCTGTTCAAGGTGCTGAAGGCGTACTCTAATTTCAACCATCGCGTTGGATACTGCCAAGGGATGGCCAGCGTCGTGGCAACAATGCTTACATTTTTCAATGAGGAGGTGCGTGTCCATACGTGCAGGCCATGGACTATTTACCAGTGCAGGATGAGCCTTCACAGAGCCATATTTTTTAACACAATTCATTGGATCTACTCCTTCCCATTACGACTCTACATAGAAAACGTTTGTTTTACTGGCGCAGTTATTTGATCGTTATCAAATCAACAACTTGGTCATCCCTGGCTTTCCAGCCCTTTTTGAAGCATTCTTCATCCAGGAGGAATTAACCAAAATATACGCACCCAAGGTTTTTGAGTCTTTGGTATGGACCATGAAGGAATGGATTTGTAATACGAATGCCCAGTGGATTGAGTGTTCAGGTCATTGACAGGAATGTATTCAAATTTGAATGTGCGTAGGAAATAATGGGCATCGCGACGCCTAGCTATGCCTCTCGCTGGTACATCACCCTCTATTCTGCGGGAGTCGTGCCTTATCGCACCTTGTTGCGGATATGGGACACTCTCTTCCTGGAAGGATTTGACTGGCTATATTTCATGGCTCTTGCCCTTTTGAAGTATCATGAATGTAAGTGGTCCTCGCAGGTGAATGAAGCCTATGTTTCTCCATGGGCCCGTCCCTATCCTGTCATCGTTTAACGCTTCATTATTGTTATTTCCCCTAGTGGAGTTGGTCCAGAATAACTTTGAGAGAACGATGGAGATGTTGAACGCAAAGATGGACATACAGGATGATGAGCGGTTGCTAAAGATTGCCAGGAAACTGTCCAAGCAGGCTCGGCAGACTGGGATCGTAGCGAAGCTCAAGGCGCGGTATATAGCGAACCAGAGGCGGACTATGATCTCAGCAGAGTCAGCGCCCACCGCTTCCTAGAAGCAGCTGGCTGCTCGCTTTTTTTTTTAATTTTTGTTATGTGTATTATCATGATTAGTTGTCATCTATCTCATAATGTCCCGCGCCCGCCTTACGTGCATCTTCATCACCTTCATTTGCTGCTCGAAGCTCCATAATAAACCGGCGTTCTCGCGCTAAACAACGACACCCTCTTAGATGGTCCACAGGCCCGGATCGATAATAATAATAATAATAATAATAATAATAATAATAAATTGGCGGATGGTTTACATGGGATTTTAGTACGAACGACCCAAGACATTTCGGGCCTCGGGCATAGTAAACCGGTGTCTTGGTGGCCAAAACAGCACTCTGCATAATCAAGCAAACAAGGCTGCACTTTTTTTCTTTTTTTTTTTGGTATGTTCATCTCGATGAGCAAGATGTGCGCCCACTCCGAACAGCTTGGTCGAATCCGTGTTTAAAACAATAAATAATAGATAAATAGCTCTTTTATTATGCATTTGGCATCTGAGGGTGTTTAAAACGATATGAGTGCGTATGAATCGTGCCTACGGCGCTGTATCCTACACCGCTGTAACTGAATTGCGTCCAGCATTTCCTTCCGTCTCCTGTTTGCATCGCCTTGAGGGTGTCTGAGGTAGAACAGGACTTGTGCCTCTTTGAGGCGCCAGGGGCAGGAACGTGGCTTGGGGACGATACGCCAAGTTCTTTGTCGTGTTCTTCATTTGCACAGACTTAGGCATGTAGTTGAGCACCACGTTTCTGATAAAGCGCTCGATCAGGGTCTATCGTCCGTATGTAAAAAAACAAAACGATAAGCTACGAGTAGTGTGTAACATGAAGCAAGCAGGTTGATTATTACCTGACCGTAGATGATCTTGGCGTTCATCTTGCTCGCCTCGTATTGCTCAATGACATGTGGATAGCGCTGTTGCTTAAACTCTTTGAATGCCGCAGAAACGTCTTCCTGCGATGTCGATTTCAGGTCGTAGATGCAATTCGCCAATATCACCGCATCTTGCAACGCGTTAACCGCGCCTTGCCCCGCACTTGGGAGCAACTATTGGTGGTATAGAGCGATGAATGTCTGCAGCAAAAGTCTGTGCGCATGCCATGGTGGATATTTTTAAAACTCTAAATTAATTACTCACCTTATGGCAGGCATCGCCGATCAACACTGTTCGTTTATGAGACCAAGTTTCGAAGACCTTATCCTCGAGATAAACACGCGAGATGGTCTCCTTGGGCGTGGCGTCGATGAGGTCCCCCATTGTTCCTCCAATGGGTACCAAAAAACCTCTGACTTCCTTGATCATGGCCTCATTCGAGTCAGGTCCCCACTCGGAGTTCCTGAACCTTTCGTCCTCCGCCTGCGATGCCGACGATAGTTGCACAACGACGTTCCAGCAAATCTTGTTGCCTGGGACATTTGCGGCACTCCACTGGTGTCACAGCAAAATCGAAAGAAGAAAAAAGATTTGTCAGCACCCACACAAGTTTACCATAGTTTTTCATTATGAACCGTTGTTTTCTTACCGAGTACTGGGTCCCGTTTCCGATGACTTGATACACTTTCGAATCCTTTTCACTCAACACCTTGTATCGTCCGCTATCCAGTGAGCTCGTGGTTCCAACCAGACACATAAAGCCTTTGTTCAGCGACTCCGTGTCGGATTTAGGCAGCTCGTTTTCTGCTTGCAGCGTCTTGTAGAGACTCTGGCGGACACCAGAGTAGGCGCCATCGGCACCGACGAGGATATCACCGTGGTAGGTTGTGCCATCGCTACACCTGATCATCACGCCATCCTTGTTCTGGATAATCGACATGACTTTCTTGCTCAAGTGGATTCGCTCCTTTGGCACACGCGACAAGAGGAGCTCATGTAGTTTGGGTCGAGCAAACATGGCGTAGTGATATCCGATCCTAAGTGCAGTTTAGTCTCAAATCCTGTCAGAGAGTTGGCAACGTTGTATATGCAATAAAATAGAGGGAGTCTGCCTTCTGGTTGCTCCAGTTACTATTATGCACAAATCCGCTTACAATTCCAGTTCATTTTCCATGGCCAGCGCAGCAATGAGATCCATATTGTCATGGTAGACGTTGAATCCCCGGCTGGGATAAGAGATTTTCAAAAGGTCCTCGTATAATCCCAGCTGCTCGAAAGCAGGCAGGATGTTTGCGTTTAAGCTCATCACGGCCCCTAAAAAAAAAGCTTTAGAATTGATAGTTCTACCAGCAAATGAAGAACGGAGATTGAACGGGCACATACCAATAGGCTTTATCTCGTTGCTTCGCTCAAAGATCTCATATGGAACTCCAATGCGTCCAAGCAAGATGGCAAGAAATATCCCAGCGAGGCCAGCGCCCACAATCATAACATGCGGGACCTTGCCATCGGGACTGATAGGAGGGGGCTGAGATGGATAGCGATCCATAGTTACTGCGTGAATTGGAGGGGTCAAAAAGAAGAAAGAGAAGTCGACCAAGTCGAAAGTAGGGGTCTGCGATGAATGTGGAAAAAGAACGATGTCGAATTGTGTTCGAATGAGATTCCCTCATCAAAAGATGGCACGATCAACTTTACCCGAGAGAAAAGGTTAGGTTCCTGAACACCAATTTACGAGAGTAACACAGCAGTTGCATAATGTGAAGTTCTTGGCATGCCGCCAATTGCCTACAAGGTTATTATCGATTAGCGATGACAAAAAGGCCGTTGTTCGACTTTGAACCATAAACAGCAAACCAGTGCTTTTATTTCGCTCCAATACTCCATTAGATTGTCTTCATTGAACTGCCGATGCTGGGCGTGCCTTCGCTTGCTCCTCTTCGTATCGTCTGGACGGCTTCTGGGGAAGCACATGGCAAGCTCCTCTCTTCGGCGCCAGCGGGAGGAATGTTGCTTGAGGACGGTACGCCAGATTCTTGGTCACGTTCTTTGTCTGCAGCGACTTGGGCATGTAATTGAACAGGACGTTGAGGATGAGTCACTTCATAAACCTCTATTCATAAACAACGTGCGTTAGATACTCGATTCTTGATGAAGCTGCAATTCAACATGCGATTCTTTGCATTGGCTAAAATTGAAAGATATAAGTGGCCATAAATGATCTTTGCGTTCATTTTGCTAGCATCATACTGCTCCTTCACACGTGGGTATTGTTGGTCTCTAAAGTTCTTGGAAGCTGCCCCGATATCATCCTGCGCCAAAGACTTCAGGTTCATATATGCAATTCGCCAAGGTCATCAAGTCCTGCATCGCATCCACAGTTCCCTGTCCAGAACTCGGGAGCAGCTGTTGACATTAAGGACAGACATCGCTTGTCAGAATGAAGACCTTAACATCCCTCAATGCTTTTTTTTCTCCCAAAGGGCACGCCATGTGATCAAGCAAGATAGCGAGCAGCAGGCCAGCTAGGCCAGCGCCTACAATCATGACATGGGGAGCCTTGCCATCAGAGTTGATGGGCGGTGGATGGGATGGGAACTGCTCCATGGAGATGAGTGAGGGAAGGGGAGAGGAGTGATGAGGCACGAAGTGATATTCTCAATTGAGCACAAAAGACGATCGGACGATAGAAGATGCGCCTTTCGTTGCACAGCAGTAACGGGCCACTAAACATCTACTGGAGAGCATCTCATTGGACAGGAGAGAGAAAAGAGCACCGCCCTGATGTCTCTGAGCAATAAACGGTAACCACAGAGCATCGCGCAGGGGCCGCGTACTCTTAGACACGTACGACAAAAGTCTACGGCCTACAGCGGACGCGTACATTCTTTGACGCGTCCTGAAACCACTCCGAGCACCTTTTCTTCCGTGTGCACCCCAAGATGCACCGTGATCTGGATGTGGTCTGTGTAACCATGCAAGTTCGGAATGGGTCCCATACCTTATACGCGCCTATTCTGAGAACCTCTCAGTCATTCCTGGCACGCGCAGAGGTACAGCATCACTGTTTCACTATACCGAGAAGCACTTTGGAGGCCGATCTCTGACGTCGTCTCTCATCGCAGGATGGGGACGCACCTGGCTCCCTGCGCAGTGTAAGACCACAAAAAAAAAAAAAAAAAAAAAAAAGGTGAGACCGAACCGTTTGTGTGTTACTACCAACTTGAGAAACATTCAAAAGCCATTTCATTCCTTTCTTCTTATCCTCTTTTACTTTGTCTTAACTACCTCTTCTCCACCGCTTTCTTACTCTCTCACTTTCAAAAAAAAAAGCACGATACCGTTCTCTCTTCCTGCCTTTCTTCCAGCATATCAAGCAAGCAAGCATGTTACCCCCAGTAGATGCCAGTGTCCTGATCGACCGATGTAACCAAGATGACCTGACACTCTCCAAGGCCCTTCATGGGCCTTCTTGGAATGACGTGCAAAACCAAACATCGTTTCTTTCAAAACTCAACAAGAAAGACAAGGAGTACCAGGCCGCGGTTGTCAATGACTACCTCGAAAACTGGAAAGAGGCCAAACCGGAAAACGAAACAGAGCAGGATCGGGAGCAGAGAGCCTGTGCTTACAAGGCTGTCGCCAACTCTTTCTACGATCTCGCCACGGATTTTTATGAGGTAAAGAAAAGGACGTTTGGGCGATACTGAAATAGCTAGTTGGATTTGGGAAAGGGAGTTCTTTTCTTATAGGGATGATATGGTAGATCTCATCAAAAGGCATTTGGGGGTATGGAGTGTTACCATCACCCATATCTCCAGCGACTATAACATGACAAGATATCAAAAGAGAGTGTATCGGACAAGCGCTGTTGGTTTATCGCCATCTTCGTTGTCATGTAGCGTCTTCTTATTATGCGGTATTTATCATCCCTTGAACGATTTACTCCTCCACCCATGGACTACAAACAAGGAAAGGAGAAAAAGAAAGACGTGCGCCATAAAGTTCCCTTCAAAGGGTCAGCGTCTTGGATTTTAAAACAACACCCTCTTTGAGATTGATGCGGGTTCTGAGTGTGCAGAAACGTCATGGGAAGAGAGTATTGTCCCTGTGCCTCCTCCTCCTCCACCCCCCACCAGTTGTTGTGGATTGAGACGCGCAGAAAAGAGATGGCATGGGTTGGGCACATTTGCACATTGGAAGAGAGGAAAGAGAGGAGGGTGAGGGCAAGAGACCTGGCGAGAGAGTTGGGAGGGAGGACACTTGCTAGCTATCATTTTCCAGAACCATCTCCAGCATGGGACATGATCTGTTTGACAGGAGAGGGACTACTACTATCCTAAACAAAAACCATTTTGATAAACTGCGAAGGAAGCGGTATAGAGTTACGAGTGATCTGCTTGGTTGAATATTGGAGACAAAGAGGAGTACTGGTTGTGTTCATAACGACGGACATTCCTAGTAGGAAGAAAAGCATCCATTGCCTTCCCAAAGGGCGAGACAGTGGAAGAAATACTTACCTGAAAATGAGGCTAGAAATTTAACATTAACAATGGTTTTTTTTTCATCGATGTGTAGTATGCTTGGGGAACATCCTTCCACTTTTGTAGGTTCCGTCCCCGCGAGCCCTTCCATCAGGCCATTGCTCGCCATGAGCATTATCTGGCCGCCAACATGGGTGTCCGGCGCAGCTGGAAAGTCCTCGATATCGGCTGTGGCGTCGGCGGTCCCGCTCGCGAGATCGGGTACTTCACCGGTGCCCACATTACAGGGCTCAACAACAATGACTACCAGATTGCGCGCGCGAAGCGCTATGCAGTGACCTTTGGACTCGCTGCCAAATCTGACTTTATCAAGGGTGATTTCATGAACATGCCCATTGAGAACAACTCCTTCGACGGCTGCTACGCCATCGAGGCTACGGTCCACGCGTCGTCATTAGAAGGCGTCTATGGTGAGGCGTTCAGGATCTTGAAGCCTGGCGGAGTCTTTGGATGCTACGAATGGCTCATGACGGACAAGTATGATCCGATAAACCCAGAGCACCTGCGCATTGTCCGTGGACTTGAGGTTGGCAATGGTATCGCCAAGATGGTTACGGTGAAGGACTGTCTCAAGGCGCTCGAGACAGTGGGTTTTAAGATTGAGATTGCCAAGGACATGGGTGCGACGGACGACAAGATCAAGTGGTACTACCCTCTCGAAGGTGATATCCGTCAAGCCAACGCGTTCTGGGACTATCTGGTTGTGTTGAGGACAACGACTGCTGGACGCTCGGTGACTACGTATATGGTCAAGATGTTGGAGAGCTTAGGATTGGTCGCTCCCGGAAGCGCCAAGGTGTCGAGCATCCTGCAGACCGCTGCGGACTCTGTCCTTGAGGGCGCGCGTTTGGGTATCTTTACTCCCATGTACTTTTTCGTCGCCAAAAAGCCGGAGGTGTAGAATGAGTCCCTGCGACTCTGTTCTTCAGTCCACAATTCGTTCTCATCCACATTCCTCATTTTGATATAATGTCTGAAGCTTTAACACTAGTGACAATAATACATTCTAGGCCTCTCCACATCCATGTTGCTGCTCGAACTGCATCGCATTCTTCAAATGTACAAACAGGATAGCAAATGAAGTTGGTTTTATATAGTTCTAATGTGCTGCACGGTCGTCTTAGTTGATCTTCTTGACCTTAGCTGCGACCGCTTCATTCTGGTGCACAAGCTTCATGGCTCTGTAAAGGTGCTTGATCGAGTTGTGCATCAAGATCGTGGGTAACAACATCCAGAAAATATTGAAGAATCCGAAATAAAAGTAGTAATAGTAAGGGTGAGGATCGCAGTGGGGGGAGCCCTCGACGATGGTGGTCAAGTAGTAGAGGGTGCATCCATAGAGCTGTCCCAAAGAGATGATCAACTGGGCAATATGGCGGGAGGGGCTGTTATGATACATGGCATAGGCGGTGTAGAATGCCAGGGGACCCCACGCGAACTATATGAGAATAAAAAAAAAATTGGGAGGTTGTTAGTATGCAATTGAGTGAGAAGAACCGACAGCAAACAAAGCTACATCAATTGATCAAATGGACCGTTGACGAAAGGACAAGGACATACAGCGGTGATGCGCTCCATGATCAGGACAAAGGAATCACTCGACAGATATCTGGAATCGCTTAGTGCATACTCCTTCCAGACCTGGGCCAGGGGTGCGCTGTCGCCTGCCAGGGTCTTATGGTAGATGCCAAAGTATCCCTCCAGGAACAGATGGATGAATCCGCACATAACAAACCAGAGGAACGTCAGCTGGCTGCTGAGACCCTTGAGGGTCGAGTTACGCTTCTGGTGGGACAGTGCCAGAGAGCCGACAGTGATGGTTCCGAAAGTCGCGAAGAGGAGGGTAAGAGTGTCCTTCATCGAGTAAGTGTTGGCGACATAGTGATCGAGGATCAGATCCACGGGGTAGTATGGGTGGACCGTCCGTGCGATCTGCGTTGCTGCTGCCTCTACGGCCGATGATACTGCTGATGCCATGGTGAATGAGACGAAGTTGGCGATGAGGGAGTCGAGAGACGTGAGAGAAGGGAGAGAGCAGGAACTTGTTGTGCGGTAACCCCTTCTTAAGGACTGGTTCCCCAGTTGTCCCTGGGTAGGGCCAGGAACAGAAAAAGAACAGAGCGATGTGATTGGCTGCGATTCGATCCTGGGCGGAATCAGGCCATTCTCAAGATCAGGCCAGATATACGTGCGCTGCTTGAACTACCCAAATGCAAACCGGTTTACGATATACAATATCCGCTGTGGATGTTCCCGGTTAAGATCGACTATAACGCTCTTGTCGCTCATGGATATAGTCTAGATATGTAGATCTGCAGATGAGGTAGCTCTGCTGCAGACTGGTATCGAGTCAGGGTTTTCACTGATCAAGGATTTTCTTAAAAAAACCCCCCACAATTCGTACATGGAACGCCCTTTGTTGTTCCCAATAAAGACAGGATCAATGCCATTCCTCGGTAAGCATCTTAACTATAACGAGTGTGCATGTTTAACACAACGCAGCATGTCCTTTGTATCAGAAAGGAAAGCAATGTGGGACGTGTGTGTGCGGGGGGGAAGCAACCGTCACTTGAAATGGACGTAGATCGCACACGTATCATTATGCTCGCGCCAAAACGCACCCTCGATAGCTTGACCTTCGGCACGTATTCATAATCCGCCAAAGCTGCGTGCTTAATTGGAAAAGAGCGATGTTAAAAATGCCACTTTTTTTACTATTATATTTGCAATGCGTGAATCTATACAGGCAGGTTTTGGGTGCGAGCTGCTTGGAGATCGGCAGCGCTGGCGCTTCCGGTGGATCTAGGGTTCGTTATTCGTGGGAAAGAGATGGCTTCCTGACTTGACATGAGATATGATACCAAATCCTTGAATCGCACTTGGAGAACAAACGTTTCCTGATCAAGGATCTCTTCGTAGTCGTTACCCAGTAGATCGTCATCCTCGTCGTCATCTTCGCTGACTTCACTGGCGCTTCTGTGATCTGAATCAGACGCTAATCCACTGCTTGCTGATTCGCTAAATCTCCGTTGTCTTCTCCGAGGGGAAGAACGATTATCCTCCGTGCTGAACCGGATCTCCTCTTCGTCCACGTAGTAGTCCGGATTAGTGTTGCCCTGAGTGCTGCCATGCGTATTACTGCTGCTTTGTGGAGTATAATCAAAAAGTATAGACGACGATTGTACTGAAGGTGAACCGGAAACACGTTCTGTTGAGCCTGGTGTAGTGCTTGAAGATGAAGCTGCTGAGGTATTTGCTGGTGTCATTGTGCTGCCATTAACCGCAGATCTCTGAGAAGTGCTTCCATTGCCCAATACATTGCTACCTCTTGATCGCCTGCCGCGTGATTGATGTCCTGTTGAGAGTGCTGTCCTCCTGGGGCTGATGTTCGCTTTGAGAACATTGAACGTTATGAGAGCCATAGTGATCTGGAGCACGCAGATAAGAAGATCCAGCCATAGTAGCTTCGATCGACTTGGTGTTGAAACTACAGCAATTGACAGAAAAAACATCCTCTGTGAGTCCAGCTGTCGCTATGATGACAAGAAAAAACGTTTTTGGCGGCTCTTGGTCAATCCAGTTTACCGTTTCCAATAAAGTCGATGATAACAGCATAACGCTCGGGTACACGCAAGTGTCGGATAACAGCCAGGATGTTGGTGGCGAAGATGGCATAAAGGGCGATACGAAGTGTTGGTGCCTTGGACTTTAATGACACAAACTGCTATTAGATATGGTTGGTACCCGATAGAAGCGGAAGAGTGTCAGTACGCTGCCCCTGCGAGTTCGCCTTCCGCTTGTCCTATGTTGTGGGATCCAAGCATCCCTGACATCCCTGACATCATGATCACTCTACCTCCTGCACAAGTCCTCTCAGAATGAGTCCCAATGTGGTGGTATCCAACAGGTATTGGTAGACATAAAGACCGTAGAGCAGTGCCTCCAAGGACTTGTAGATGTCCTTCTTGTAGTACTGATGCGGCATCGCTGGGCCAGCCTGTGGGTCCAGATGAATCTTCTCTTGTCCTGAAGTGAATAGGCTCGTGCAGTGGACTGACGAATAAAGTTATCGCCCAAGGCCTTTTGTATACCTGTCGATCCAAGTGAACTTCGAAGAGGGCATTCACACTATGCACTGTCTTCCTGTCTCAAAGTCCTACTATTGAACAGACTGCGAGCATCTGAGCGGTGTCAATTGGCTACTGAAGGTACTATCCTACCCCTCGGCCGCATATCCATCGCAACTTGGCATCTAATATGAGATGCCACGACCAACCCGTATTTTTTTTTTTTTTTTTTTTTTTTTTTTTGGCCTCAAACGCCGTTGGCGCTATGATATCCATGGTCTCTATCCTATTACATTCTTCCTAATCCCCTCTCTATCACTGTTGCTTAGGCTTGATACGCCTGAAGCTGTTTGGTAGAACAAGGGCGAAGCAGCAACATACTTCGCGACGCATGTAAACCTGCTGCGAAAGTGGCTTGCAAGACGGAGCTGCGCCGTGGGGAACTCTTGTGTTTCCGCGTCGCCTTCTGATCAACCAGCATCACCAACACCATGGCATCCGCCTTTGCATTCAGGAGAGCCCTCGTCAAAGGAACTGCGATCAGCAGGGGTTGTCTTTGGGGGAGAATATCGACAGCTGGAGCACAAAGGACGATTGCAACATCCCCGAGGGTTCTTCATGAGAACCCCCTGGTAAAAAAAAGAGATACCTACCTCCGTTGCAGAAGGGCCGATCTCAACTTCGCTGCCTTGCAGAACGAACCCAGGTCAAGGGACCCGCCATGAACTGACATTATATTGTACTTCCATTTGTGGCACTGCGTTAATAGGGTATTCCACGGAAACCTCCACCACTATCTGGAGGAACACGGGCACCAGGATCGGGACCTGCACCAACCATCCCGAGAATGCAACGTGGACTGCCTCAGAAGATGCCTATCAAGGGCGTGAAACACATCATTGCTGTGGCCTCGGGCAAGGGGGGCGTCGGCAAATCAACCACTTCGGGTACTACTTGACAAAACAGTGGATCGATCGCTCGATATATTCATATTTTTTTTTTTCGACAGGATCGGGCGTGTCTGACAACATGATCTCTCGCACTTTCGACAGTGAACTTGGCATTAGCGATCGCAGGAATGAACAAGCGTGTAGGGCTTCTTGACGCCGATATTTTTGGACCCTCGATTCCTCGACTCATGAATCTTAGCGGCGAACCAGAACTCACGGGAACAGGTTAGTGCGCATGAGGGGCTTGGTCCGATCCCTGGAATGTGAAAGGCTTCAAGGAGTAGAAGTGATACTCACATCATGGATACGATTGCTTCATGGGGATGTCTTTATAGAGGATCGATTGGTGCCCTTGACAAACTTTGGGGTCAAATGCATGTCCATGGGCTTTCTGGTTGGAGAAGAGGCTCCTGTGGTCTGGCGAGGTCTGATGGTCATGAAAGCCCTTCAGCAATTGTTACACCAAGTCGAATGGGGAGAACTCGATCTCCTTGTGATTGATATGCCACCAGGTACGGGCGATACACAGTTGACCATCTCGCAGCAGATCCCGCTTTCTGGTGTGGTCATTGTATCAACGCCACAGGATATTGCTTTGATCGACGCACGCAAGGGAGTTAACATGTTCAAGAAGGTCAACGTCCCTGTAAGTTATCAGCAAAGAATATCCCATCATAATTAATGCAGAACAGGGTGATCAAGCGCCGCTTCCCACCATGAGTTCCTGATTCATCTTTGTTGTTATCTACTTCTTATATTTCTAAATAGATCTTAGGTGTAGTTCAAAATATGTCGCTGCACGTCTGCCCTAATTGCAATCACGAATCACATATCTTTGGAGACGGAGGTGCGGAACGAACAGCCAAGGAGATGGACTTAGACTTCCTAGGCGATGTGGCCCTACACTCTGAGATCTGTCAACTGTCGGACAAGGGCCAGCCCGTAGTGGTCTCAAGACCCGACAGCAAACATACGCAGTACTACAAGGCCATTGCTTCCAAAGTCGTTGACAAGCTCTGGCCATTAGAAGCGAAATCTCCATCAGCTTGAGAGGAAGTTACTGAAAGAAAATAAACGAATCGGCATCCTGCAGGTTTCTGTCTTCTCTTCGTGGTATCCACAATGTATTTTATTTATGTGTCAAGAAATCATACAATCTGCTGCTTTTTGATATATGTAACAGTTACTCTTCGCCTTCTGGTCGCGGGCTTTGCTCGTCGTAGGACTCTACTGAGCTGATAGAGCGACTACGCTGCATGCCCACTCCATTGCTACTACTGCCATTGCTCCGTCCAAAACCAAAGAAATCTCTGCTTCTGCTTTGTGTCGGACTCGCTGGGCCGTCTTCATAATCCGAGCCTTCTCTTGAATCCGGTGACGCCATTCTCGACGAGGTGTTCGACGGACTCGAAGCATTGCCGTCCGTGATCAGATTATTGCCGCGCCGACGTCGCCTGAAGATCTTGTTGACCACACTGTCGGCTCCAAATAGCCGCGAAAAGTCCTTGACGAATTCCTGCGACTTGTCCTCCCACATGCTCATGGTTTGTCGGAGGTCATTTCTCAGTACGGAAATCTCGTTTCTCAGCTCATCCTTGGTTCCATGCCAATTCTGTCGAATCGAAGCACGAATATCTTGAGCTGATTTCTTAAGCTTGACCTCTTGCTCCTGTATACATGTCACATGCCGAATAAAATTGTACAGTAGTGAGAATCTACATTTCCAGATTATTTTATTGGTATGTTGGTAGAAATCGCCATTGAAGAAAATAAAGCACTGCTTACCTTAAAGAATCCGATACCAAGCTCTTTGGCCGTAACACCGCGCTCGAGATTACGTCTCAGATATTGGTCATAGTCCTTGACAATGCGCGTAATCAGATCGGAGGTCGACACTCCATCCGTGCGCTGAGTGGGCAAGAAGCTACCCTGGTTCTTGACAAACGCATAGACATCATCACTATCAACCGACTTGTATGGGATATCGTCGTGTGCAACATAGTCGATCTAGAAAAAGGTGACCCCCAGGTATCTGAGTTAGCCTCAGCGTTTACACAATGACACTTGGCAATATGCCAATGCAGTCAATGAATGATGCATTCTTCTTCCTGTACCTGATGCTTGTCTAGGAATGCCTGATCGACGACCCATGGAGCACCCTCGATCACTTCGTCAACCCATTTGCAGTGGCGTACACTTTCATATCGCTCCTTATCTGTCATCACAGTCTTGCCCTTACGGCCATGAGTAAGTTTGTCGTCGCAGACTAGAATGAGATCGATCCAAAATTTAAATGTCTGTTATCATCAAATACTCCGATCTTACTGTTGGGTCCCTCTCAGGTACACAATCGAGCGAAGAACACAATGCAAAGCAGAACAAGCGGTAGTATTCAAGGCGAGGTTTCCACGCCATCTTCGTTTAGACCCTCCACATAAATGCTTATCTAAGGAAAGTAGATTCGACAAACTGGAGATCGAGCAATAGGGAGGAGACGGAAAAGCACATGAAGATGCTCTCGTATAGCGGCAGTTGAAAGTGCATACGATTTTTTTGGGGTAAACCAACCAAAGGCGGTAGTGTAGTCAACCCATGGCCCTTCCATCATTCTTCCCATGGAGACTAAACACACACTTTCCAGAGCGAAGAGAGAGGGGGTATATACTGAACATCCTGAAACAGGATTGGCTTACCTCCAACGAGCAAGTAGACCTCAGGGAAGGCCTTCTTGGCTTGTTCAAGTGCTTTAGCATGTCCAAAGTGGAACAGATCGTAGATGCCATCGCAGTAGATGCGAACAGGTCGACCCACAGGCGGAGGGTTGATTGGGTAGCTGTACTTGGGTGTGTTTGACTGGCTGCTGCTGGCGACACTTGCCGTGCCGCTCTCGTCCTCGGTAGTGGGTGCGAGGGCTTTTTTTGATTCGCGCCTGGAGGAGGTGGAGCTGGCTGTGTGGGCGTGATCGCTTTCTTGTTCATCACGTTTGGTCTCCTGCTCCTGTTCCTCATCGTCGCCTTCGTCTTCGTCCCTGTCGTCGCTGTCACCAGATTTTCTTCTACTGCTGCTCTTGTCTTTGGCGAATGTGTTCCTTTGGCTGATACGAGGCTGCTTGTGACTTGACGTGTCGGTGCTGCTACTATTCTTGGATGTAGCAGAGGTGGTTCCGGTACGTTTGCGCTTGGATGACATGATAGAATATAGATGAGGATATAATGGTGAGATGAAAGAAAGATAGACAGAGGATAAGGAGGAGAAGGAAGAATTAAAAGTAGATGAAAGTCGATGAAAGAACGGAAGGAAAGAAGAGGGATTCCAAGATCTGTCTAGTACCCAAAACAAAAACTTTCTTCTAACACATGAAGTGTGGCAACATTCTACACAGCTCTGGATGCGCCCCAGAAGTTCAATTCCGCACGCATTGAAAAGGGTCTACCTTTATCGCTGACATCTACTCCTTGTATATCACTGTCTATCGAACCGCTGTCCATTGCATGGTTGTCACTTTTGTCCTATTTATTATTACTGTTGTATATCAACTATTTGTGAGGAGAAGACAGTGCGCTTATGTTATGTATGCCGGTGTCTATGCGTCTGCGTCTGCGGTCTTGGTCTCCTCCTCCACAGCATCAGCGGTCTTGGTCTCCTCCTCAACAGCATCAGTGGTCTTGGTCTCCTCCTCGACAGCATTAGCAGCCTTGGTCTCAACAGCGACTGGTGCCTCGGACAAGGGCTCGGCGTCAACAGCAGTCTTGACCACCTGGGGCTCCTCCTCCTGAACTGTCTCAATGGGGGCAACAGCCTGCTCCTTGACCTCGGTAGACTTGATCTCCTCGACAGCCTCGGGGACGGACTGCTGCGTCTGCTTGATTTCGTACTCTGGCTCCTTGACTGGTTCTTCCTCATGTGCAGGCTGAGCAGCTTCAACGGGAGCAATCACTGCAACTTCAGCCTCGGGTTCGTCCTTCTTCTGCTCCTGGTCATGTGCCTCCTCCTGCTGCAAAGGAATATCGACAAGACCAATGTCCTTCACCTTCTCTGTCAGATCAGCGAACTCCGAAGAGTTCTCGATCTCCTCGTCGACGTTAACAGGACTGTTCTCCTGAGTTGATTCGTCCTCGTGCTGCTCCTGAACCTCGGGTGTCTTGGCAAGAGATTGAGGCTTGGACTCTGTGAATGTGGTGGCGTTCGTGGGTGCGTTGACTTTGCTGGCGAATCCCGCGACCTTGCCTCCGGCAGGTTTGCCAACATTGTTATGGGGGACGTAATTGCTTCCTGAGGCGGCCTGTTTGGCTAAGGCAGAGTATCGGCGGGCAAGATTCTGGACCTTGGACGGGGCAGGCGCAGGCGCGGACTTTGTGCCCTCGCTCAAGGGCGATGAGCTTGGGGGCGAAGATGAGATCTCGTTAGAAGACCTGAGTATGTGCAGGATAGAACAAAAGGGCATGGATTGGCAGCTTTTGTTAGTAGGATGAACAGAATGAAGGCCAGCTAATTACAGTATCGCTTGCTTTACATGTCTGATATAACTGATGTTGTGGCGAGGGGGGGGGGGGGGGGGGGGGGGGGGTGTTTGCAAAAGGAACGAGGGATAGAGTGGAGGAGAAGAGAGGTGGAGAAAGGAGAGAAAGATGATAGATAGAGAGAAGAATAAAGGAAGATCAAGGAAAGCATCTCTTTTTAATGCGCGCCTGGTGCTGCCAAAAATAGGGACACTCTTTTTTCGTCGTGTACGTGAGAAATGGGCTGCTGCTCATTCGCCCCCGTGCCGTGTCGTGCGGTGCATTGGGGTGCAAGTCATGCGATTGAATAAAGAGCTCCTGTTGAGAGGTATAGAGCGAGAGAGCAGCAACAAAAGTGTCTCTTGTGTACGGAATAGACTAACGGAACAGCAGATGTCTGCAACCGTACGGCTGGGTAACCGACCTTGATAGCCTTGATAACCTGGAGCCTGCTCCTGCTCCTGCTCCTGCTCCTGCTCCTGCTCCTGTTCCTGCTCCTGTTCCTGCTCCTGCTCCTGCTCCTGTTCCTGTTCCTGTTCCTGTTCCTGCTGCAAATAAAAGTCCTCGCATTAACATTGCTCCTGAGCTGATGTCATCCAGGAGACATACGGTAGTGCCACCAAAACAAGGACTCTCGTGATACTGGCAGAAGTTCATATTAGTGCACACGCGTTTCCTGCTGCCATTCTTACGCGTTCTGCAAGCAGCACATGTAATGGTGGTGATAGATGCAGATGTCTACTTTATTTGACCTATTGCTCAAGCGCATAGACGGACTTCTCTATGCAGCGAGTGTAGTATCCATGACGGGTACTTTATTCTCTCAAGCGTTAAGAATCTTACGCAAAGCGAGAACCATACGTCGACAGTCTATCATGCACCCATTTAATTGAGCTCTTACAAGCGAGCCCTGGCCCTCTCGGACTTGCCGCGCTTGTGGTCCAAATAGGCAAGGGTCTTCTCAGTACCCTTGGCCTTTCTAAAGATCTCCTCCAGTTGCTCCGCCAGCTCCATTGCACCGGCAATCTTGATCTTTCCGCTCACAATGCCTCGCGATCCCTGTTTGTTAGCAACATAGAATAAGACCAGTGCGCGTTAGTGTGACCAACTCATCGTGAGGATCATGCAAAAGAATTTTGAAGCGATTGACATCTTCGCATACAGTGAGTCCTCCGCTCATAAAGTTGAGCAGGTCCGAATCCTCGATCTGGATAATGGCGACGGGAATGGGCTGCACATCCCGCTTGGCCTTAGGGATCTCGGGTCGCTTCTGAGACACAACTGCAGGTGCATCAAATCCTTGGAACAGCAAGTACCTAAAAGGAAAGTGCCCCAGCAATTACGTTCCATTACACATGTCATTAGCATATGATATGACACGGCATTCCACCTTGGAGGAAAGGCGCGAGTAGCAAGGGAGAGCCATCCTTACCATTCGGTCATAGGAACGCCCCTCTTAGTGATGTTGAAGATAAAGAACCCGCGGATGGAAGAAAGAGACGGATTCTTCTCAATTTCTATGAAACGTGAGTAGGGACATTAAGGACAAAGAGGATAAGCATATTAGAGTGGGTTAGTGTTGAGCGGAGCTCTATTGGGCACTTGGATATGGCAGCAATGAGGAGCCGATGAAATAGGACACGCTACCCTTTCTGATCTCGGGAAAGAGAGTGGTGGCGTTGAGTTTGGCAATCGCCTTGGCAGAGGGTTTGTTGGACATGGTTGGGATGAGGTGAGGCAATGGCGATGATGAGGTGAATCTGTTTCTGGGAAACAATTGGAATAAGTAGATAGAGAGGAGAAAGGGGGGTAAAGGCGGACGATTGTGGAGAAGAAGCACGAAAACTTACTTTAGAGAACCCCGTGGCCCCGTATGTGATGATTTCACTTTCTACACTTTCTACGCTTTCTACAGCAGTAGACTACCCACTGTTCTTTGTATACAAACAAACACGCACTATGCACACCCAAACTGGACCAGAGAGAAAAGAAGATGCCGTACCGCCGCGTCGCCCAGACCACTAGCCCCACGCTGTGGGTGCCAACGGTCGAGATACAGAAACGCGATGCTGCCTCAAAGATTACGTGCACGCGTTCTTTGAGGTCCGCCGACATTCCTGTATTCTTTTCTTTTTTCTCCGGCTGTGGGAGTACAAATAAGTTCACAGGGCACGCGTAGTCGTGTTGTTGTTGACCATCTGCTACCTAAGCGCTCGTCTCGAGCCTTGTTCCCACTTGCATTCTTCAAATGTAACAAACATTGCGTATGGTTTGCCTCTTGAGAATGCTACGGAGGTAGGATGGTGTTCCCCCTGATCGACTGCTACAAAACCATCATTAATCAAAGAAGTAGGTGGCCTAGAATGTATGGGACAGGCCTGCGTTCGTATCAGTCTTTTGCATTAGCGTGTCGATTTGGTCATTTTGGTCCGCTTGGCCTTTGTTTGGTTCCCTTAGCCACGATCCTACCGCACATCTTTCCCATGGTAACTCAATCTTACCCCAGCTAGACTAATCTGCAATCAAACACATAATCAAATAAAAAGAGAGCGAGAGTATGCTCTGCGGATGTTGTCTTTTATCGAATGGGCCCTCTTTGTCAATCAACATTATTATCGCTAATTTGTGCATCGGCTCTTTATGCGTATTTTTTTCCTCCGCTGCTCCCTCACTTTTCTCTTTTTTCATTTCGACCTTCCATCGTTCACTTTGCTGTCTTCCTTTTACCTGCTCTCTGCTCTATACCAACTCTCTACTTTCTCTCTGCTCTATACCAACTCTCTACTTTCTCTCTACTCTCTACCCTCTTACTGTCATTAGCCTCTACCTACTACACAATATTCGCCACTTTCTCACCTTCTCGCGGCCCACCAGCTCAAGAATGCAAAGTATTGGGCATGACCTTCGCCGGGGACTGAATAACTTCTCCTTTGGGTATGCATGCAGTGGACTGGCTCTACATAATTGGTCCGAATATATTACTTTGAAACAGGAGTTGAGGTGTGCCTGAGTGTGGGATCCATGGGCATCACACGACGCTTCATGAACAGAAGGAGTCCATGCATGCATTCTCATCCTACTCAAGCGTGAATGCTAACAACTGAGCATAACTCTCTGAACGATTAGCAACAACTACAAAAACATCAACAAATGGCTGGGTGAACTCAAAAACCTCGATTCCTCCTACAAAACCCTCGACAAGGAGATAACTTCGAATGCAAAACTCATCTCAGGATGGGGCTGCAACGAGGGCGACGACCTGACCGATGTTTGTCAACGCATGACTCAGCTCATGGAGGTAAATGCATGGCATACGATTCTTCGCGGCGTCTAATCTCCTTCTCCCTCGCCTCGCTACACTCTGCTTACGAGAGAGGCAAACATTTTTATTTCATTTTGGGGCGTGCCCTAAATGATACATCGAAAGGGGTTCCCATTCTCACATATTCAACGCTACCATGACTCTTTTTGTAGGAGGTTGGACTCATCCATCAAGCTTACTCAATTCATCATACTGCTTACCGCAAAAAGATCAAAAGCCTCAAAACTCAGGAAATGACCCTAGACGATGTAAGAATTGTCGGGGCAACATTTTCGCCACTTTTACTTGAGATGTCATTCATTTGCCTTAGCAGGAATTAACGTCTTGTATTCTTACCTCACTCTTTGTGCCCTCTGTGCCCAACCTTCAATATCATCAGAACCGCAAAAAGAAGCATGATCTGACAAACCAGATCGCCAAGCATCAAAAATCGAGCAAGGAAAATCCTATCAAGATGTTGGAACTGCAGAGCGCTTATGAGCGTGTCTCAGCTGAGTTGCTGGTTCAGGAGCTTGAGTTGCTTCAATTCAAGCGGGTGACCATCCAAGATGCATTCAACGCCCAGCTTGATGCCATGATCGAGTTTGGTGAAAAGATGGCGCTTATTGCAGGCTATGGTCGTCAGATCACTAATGTCATCGATGTTGGGCCACAGGAAGCACATAGGACAGCACTCTACAGCGGAGCGGAATATACAGCAGCAGCAATCAACCAGGTCAAGGTCGCAGTCACCAGCTGGCAGCCTCAGCCCGTGGGTAACCCTATCCGATCCCATGTGGGGCCATCCCAAGACGAACTCGCAATGTCTGGAGCTGCGGTTGCCTACAATAGCAGAACCTCACCCTTGAACAGCTATGAAGAATCTCACTCACCTGACGATGAGCTAAACGACCACGAGTTCCATGACGGTGTTGCAATCGACAAGAACTCAGGCTACTGGAATGAGGTGCAAATGCTGAAAGCGAACCCCAGTCAGACCAGCCTAAACGACGGTCATGGAAGCGACTATGATAATTGGAAGCAGGAGCTCCACGGGGCAACGGATCGATCTGATGACTATATATCCCCACCCGCTTCGAACCCAGATGCGTCGCCGTACATTCCTTCGCAGCAGATGAATCAATTGCAGGAACAGCAGCGGCAATTACAGGTGGAGCAGCAACGTGTCCGTCAGCACAGTCATTCGTCGTATTCACCCAAGCCTTCGCCCTCCCAACAACACTATCAAAACGCAGCTTCCTCGGTAGCCACGAGTCTTAGACATTCCAGCATGGATAATTATGGTAGTCCAGGAGGAGGAGGAGGATCAGGACGCCCATTCACACCTGCGATGCTGCGGCGAGGCGATACAGCAGATCAGTACCCATCATCAAGCCCTAGTCCCAGCTATAGTAGCTACCAGCAGCAACCAGCGTCATACGAGAGCAGCCTGTCCCCAGCGCCGGCGCGGGGCTACAGACTAGGGTTCGCTGACCCACGGGAACGTAATAGGACGGATAAGATGGACAACTCAGAACTTTACAAGACGGAGTTTCAGCCGACTATAGCCTCGCGGTTCACTCGGACACCAATGATCATGGACGAGAAATAGTGCTTCAGCCGGCGTATTTATGCGACTGCTCAATTTATTTTATGGCCCTAATATATTGCATGAATGAAAACTCTCCGAAGCGATGCAGAACTTGCATGGTGGAAGCCATCCACACTCAGTACCTCAGCTGTGCTGACGCCACCAATTTCTACGCAACAAATAGGGTGTCACGCGTTTACATAGGGATTTTATTTCCTCGTGCTCCTGCCCATACCTCCCTTGCCTGGTACATTCACGTCCTCTCTTTGCCATTTATCATTCTGTCAAAACGCCCTTTCCTCTTTCCCTGTCGCGTCGGTGCACCATTTTTTGTCACTTTGACCTGGGTTCACCAGCGGACGCAGCCAATGACGCGTTTCAAACCGGCTGATGGTGATCGATTCCTATGCAGGAGAATATACTGCTGATAGAAAGAGTGTATCCATGGCATCCGATCCTAGGATGTGATGGACGGATGTGTTACGAATTCTGTCTTCCGAAGTGTATACCATGAGAAAGGGTCCCTTCATCCATCGCGGCTATCCTCCCCATTCCGTTAAGCAAGCAAAGGACTCACTATTTGATTCCAGAGTTCCCCATCCCAACCTGGACGCCGAAGCCCTACTGCTTTCATATCAACCGCCCAGTTTCTCTTCATTGCCCGCCTGCTTTCACTTTTCTCTCTGACACTTGCACTTTATCTTCCTCTTCCTCTCCCTCTCTTCTGGTACTACCTCTACAAGATAATAAGTTTTCTTGTTCAGAAAGGAACGACAACCCCACATGGCACCCGTCTATAGCCTCATCCTTCTGGCGACCCTCCTTGCAGGGTCCGGCCAACGGCAGCGTTTTCCTGCGCTTGCTCACGCCTCACAGAAACCTGCCGACTACTTCCTCCCACCCAACATTTACGATAATCTGCCATCTGGTATCCAGACCCCAGTTGCCATCCCAGCCGCACCGTCCCCGACCTCAGCAGGGACCAATCAAAGACCTGCGGACTACTTCCTTCCCACTAACATTTACGATAACCTACCACCAGGTCTCCAAACTCCAGCTGCCGTCGCCAACGCTCTCCCAGCCTCCTCAACACTGCCAGAGCCGCGAATTGACGATGGCGGTACTAAAGATGGCTCCATCAGTGCTCCGTCCGGGCCGGATGATCCACCGACGATCAAGATTACCACACCGCTCACGAACGCACTCTATACACCAGGCTCCAACTTGGTCATGACGTGGACGAACAATCCCATAACGTTCCCAGGCACCTGGATAGCTCCGCAGAGTCTTATTGGCATGATCACGAACGACCCCAGTTTTTCACACTCACCGCTCTTAACGGAAGGCGACATGAACAACCTCGCGAAGATGAAGCTGGAGAGTATGAAGCATACTCAGATGGCATCGGCCATGAAAGATAGTCCCATTTTTCTGAGTACTCTCCGACTTGTCTCTTGGCCACTCACGTCTTCTGGTCGTGCAAGTATGAGGGAGAGGGCCGACACTAATGACAATAGTGACAAAGATGATTCAGGGCCGTTTGTGGAGGCTGGGCAGGGAAACTTTTTAATCTCACCAGAGATGCTTGCTGACCCCGGCTATAGTCTCAGTAATAGCTCCAGGATGACGATCTTAGGAGGAGCAGGTGGTCAGTTGACATGGATGATCCCAGAGGATTGGGAATATGAGGGCGAATTCGAGATCAGGATCCCATCTGTCTCCGGGTCGAACAAGGACATGAAAAGCCAGAGCTTCTGGATTTTGAGAGACCGGGTTACCAGGATGAATTACCCGCAGTATAATCTTCCCCCGGTGGATCGACAGCAACACTCGATTTCGGGCGCG